TTAGGTTTGAGTTTTTTTCAAACCAGTCAAAACGATTTGGTTTAGGTTTGAGCTTTTCTCAAACCGGTCAAAACGGTTTGGTTTGAAAATTTGTCAAAAATCGCAAAAACCGGATCTCTTACACCCCTAGTTATCGTCAAAAAAATAAGATGATATAAAAATTCTTAGAAAAATTATTTTTGTACATAATTATTTACATATACCATGTTTAATGCTCGTTCTTCTATAGTGTTTGACACCCGTTTTTAGGAGAATAAATTTTTTTGGAATAGTGATTGATGGAAGAATGTGTGGTGAAAAAATTATGAAAAATTTTAAATTTGTGTGTAATATCATTTTATTGGGAGAATGTTTGGTTAAAATGAAGAATGAGAAAAAATGAGAATGAGTATTATGGGTGCCAAACATGGGCATAATACATTTTTTTTCTCTCTTATTTTCTATCATGTATTCTTTAATAAAATAATATTACACTCAAATTCAAAATTTTCCTTATTTTATAAGTACATATATTTTATCCAAACACTATTTAAAGTGCATTGTTGAGAGAATAATGAGGCACAAACAGGGTGATAATAATTTACATAATGATTAGTGTTAAAATATAAGTTCAGAAATTATTTGATTGATGAATTTTTGATCCAATTAAATCTTGCTACACCATCTGTTTGTAAACTATTATATGAATTATTATTTACATATAACACAACCCAAATTCTTAGCCCCTAATTGATTGAGATTAAAAAAAAATTGTAAATTTTGATTAAAAAATAATAATAATAATAATAATAATTAAGCCTTTGTTTGTCTTCCTTTTTAAAGAGATTTTGAAGGAAAACTGATTTTTTGAATTATGATTTTTTGAAAAAATTTCGAATTTACGTGCAAAATATTTCATTGTAGGAATGCGTAATTGAAAATAAATTTTAAAAAATAAAGTTTTTTAAAAAAGGGAGACAAGTCTTCTATATATTAAAAGTGGCTATATAACGGAATTTCTTATTTTTAACGGAAAAACTAACGGAATTTGTTGTTTTAACAGACTATGTAACGAAATTTCTTATTTTAAACAGGCAGTTGCACCTTCTTTCAGTATTTTTATCATAACTTTGTATTCCGATATCTGATTAAGGCGATTCAAAATGCATTGGAAAGCTAACTCATCTGGCTACAGCTTTGATTCAGATATCATTCTCCAATTCGATCACTTTCTATGCAAAAAATAGGTCTCAATATGAGACTAAAATATCGGAGTATAACTTTTCGGTTGAAAATTGATTTGTGATCATCTTTTGACTAAATTTGATTCTGCTAACTCATCTGGCTACAGCTTTGATTCAGATATCATTCTCCAATTGGATCACTTTTTATGCCAAAAATAGGTCTCAATATGAGACTAAAACATCGGAGCATAACTTTTCGGTTGGAAATTGATTTGTAATCATCTTTTGAGTAAATTTGATTCCATTGACGTCTTCCTTTATCCAATTGACTCCGAGCACTCTCAAATCTTCATCGTGAGGTTCAACGCAACTTTTAAGTATTTACATTTTAGTCCCCAAACTTTGGATCCTTACAATTTAGCCATTTCTCCAAATTTGTCAACTTTTGCTTATTTTCTTCGATCTCACCAACTTACGTCACAACATTAAAATCACACATCTAATTATTTATCAATTACATAAACATTACATCATTAATTATTTAATTAACCAAAAAAATTACATCTTTATTAATAACAAATTAATTTTTAAACAAAACTATTAAATATAAACTAGGCAAACGTGCATTGCACGTTGCTTGCACCTAGTAGTGATAAATGTGTGATTGAAAAGTTGTAGGTCTATGAAATATGTAGTTAAAATTATTATTGACTTTGATTTAAATTGGGTCTTAATACCTACTTAACAGATTACTTATTTTTCTAGTATATTTAAATAAATAAAAAAAATATAAAGAAGTTTTTAAAAAATGTTATACATTTCAAACATTTGAAAAGAATACTTAAAACAAAAATTGTCATGAAAATTAAGGTGTAATATTTAAATTTCATGTCAATGATAAGAACACGATGAAAAAATATTAGGGACATAAGTATGAAATGAGCAAAAACTTGGGGTATTTTTATAAATGGCTTACTCAAACCCTCCAAAACCTTTTGGGGTATTTACAAAAATACCCTTAAAATTAGGAATGTTTTGAAAAATCATATGAAAGTTTTTTAGGAAGTAAAAAATACTGTGTAAAATGAAAAAGTGACACAATGTCATTTTTTTAATAAAAATTGTCACTTTGTTTTTAAAGTGATAAAACTCAAAAAGTGATACAAACTCAAAAAAGTGACAAACTCAAAAAAAGTGACGCAGTGTCACTTTTATAAAATTGACGACCAATGTTACTTTTAAAAAAGTGATACAATGTTACTTTTATTTTTTAAAAAATGATGTTTGTCACTCAAAAAAGTGACAAAAAAATATCAAAAAAGTAATAGAAAAAGTGAAACACTTTAAA